CTTGGGCCAGGGGGGGAAAGCGGGGGTAGCCAATGGTGCAGAGGCGGCCGTGTCCTGCCAGCGCCGTGCACTCCAGCTTCACCTGGCTCTTGTCCTGCGGGATGGAGAGAGAGCACCAGCCCCTGCAGTGTCCTCACGCCGCAATGGGGACAGTGGTGGGACACTCAAGGCTGAGCACCTGGCAACCTGGGGTTGAGGGCAGCTAGAGAGGGGCCGAGCTAGGGGGGGCTGAGGGCCACATGGGGCTTGCCGGACCCCTGTCCCCAACCTGGGATGGGCTAGGGGGCCCATGTAGAGCCAAACAGGCCACAATCTCTGACCCAGAGCAGGTTGGGGGGCCTGGATGAGCCTGGACAGACCCCTATATTTGACCTGGGATGAGCTGAGGAGCCTGCATGAGGCTGGATGGACCCCCGTCTGCTACCCAGGACAAGCTGGGGGACGCACATGGACTCCCATCTCTGACTTGGGACAGGTCAGGGGGACCCTGATGGGGCTGGATGAACCCCCACCTCTGACCTGGGATGAGCTGGGGGCCCATAGGGGCCTGGAGGGACCCCAGCTCCAACCTAAGATGGACTCGGGACCCAGAAAGACCCTAATCTCTGACCTGGGATGGGCTGGGGGACCCAGATGGGGCTGGATGAACCAGAGAGTCCCTATAGGACTGGACAGAGCCTGGTCTTTGACCTGGGACAGATCAGAGAGCCCACACAGGGCTGGAAGGAGGAGATGGAGGGCCCACGGGGAGCTAGGTGGATCGCCCTGTCTGAGATGGATCTGGATGGGATGAGATGTGTGTACATCCCAACACACGGGATGGGATGGAACGGGACAGGGGTGGCCCCATACCTGGAGCATGAGGCTGGAGAAGTGCAGGTTCCTGGAGAAGTGGAGCTGCAGGCTGGCATTGTAGGCGTTCTCCTTCTTGTTCTCCAGGGCCACATCCACCATCACCTTTCTCCTGCCCTTGCGGAGGATGTGGGGGCTCTGCCTGTGGCGGGAAGCTCGTTAGGGCCCCAGGGCAGGGCTTGGGCTGCGGCCACCATGTCGAGCCCCAGGCCCATACCTGGAGCCCGTGATGTCCATGCTTGCCCGAAGCACCAGGTCCGTGACGCACTCGTCATCGTCACCACAGTCCTTGAAGAAGGGGATCTGGAAGGAGCCAGGGAGGGGTGATGGGGTGGCTGCTTGAGACGCCAGGTCCCCACACTCCCCCTGGCCCCATCCTCCCCACGGCAGACAGGGCCATCCCAGTGCCCACCAGTTTCCGGATGGTGGTAGGGGATTTCTCATCCAGCACAGGACCTGGGGCGGATTCGGCCAGGCCCAGCCTCACAGTGAAGCTGAGGGGTCTCAGATAGTCTGTGGTGTCCTGAGGATGGCAAAGGGCTCCCGGTTAGTCCCAGCACCACCGGATGGGTGGAAGAAGGGCAGGAAGGAGCCCCTCGGCTGCAGCAGTGGGACCCACCAGGGCTGCGGGAGGGACCCCCAGTTGGCATCCCTGGGAATGAACGCTGGGTGGCCGGGCACCC